ATTCTGTTTTTGATAGTCTGTGTTTTCAGTGTTTCAAGAGTTTGCCTGTATTTTCTGTATTCGAGTTCAACATGAGACAAGTCAAGCCAGAGTGTAGGAACCCAAGCTGCCTGAATGCCCAGAACAGTGACATTGGAAAATGTAATAAGATTGCATCATGTGATCTAAATGAAACCCTGCATAATGAAACACTTGAAACATGTCTACTTTTTTTTGACAGTGCGCTTCTGTCCACACTTTGGGAACATCGCCTACTCCAGAGTTGAGAGTAATCCATATTGAGAATGATAACCCATTCAGCTGGGCTTAGACAGTGGATTTCTGAAGAGATTTCCATGCGAGACATCAGAACCTTCATGGCATCCTAGATGATGGCAACCTTTCAACAGTCCGTACTCACCCAGCCAGGGAGAAAGGCAGATACAGCCAGCCTGCTACCAACCGTCTTTATCAATCTACTGCAGATAAATAATCTCATGTAAGTACAACTGAAGTCAGTTATTGAGGAATGTAATCAGGGGATGATGCACAGTAGTGGATCTAATTGGGGGTTGGAGGTAAAACTCCCCCCCCACAACCCCCATTTTGCCACTGAAAAAAGTTATGATACTTGTAAAATATTGCCAAGAATACCAGAATTTGACCAAAACTTCCTAAAGTTATTCTCAAATTGCCTTGGAATGGGGGAAGGGGCATGCCCCCAGACCCACTATGGCAGGGGCATAATGAACATAAATATCCCCCTCCCCTCTCCATGCATTTCCTGCAAGCTAGCTCCGCCCCTGATGCATGCAGTGATGTAGTCCAGACTAATGTTGTGCAAACGCGACCCCAAACTGACCCAAACCAAAACTGACTTTGGTCAGTTGGGGTCGTTTTTTCATAATTTTTTTGTTGCGTTGGGTCAGGTCAGGTCTGGTCGGATTTTGAGAGTTCAGATAGGTTTCAGTTCAGATTCTGTTTATACCTATAATGTTTCAGGTCGGATTGGCCTGCTCAGCCCGACCCGATGCACAACATTAGTCCAGACCTCCAACTCTGAGACCAATTAAGTCATTTATACATATTGAGACTGAACATTTTGTACATGTGTCGAGACTGAAACTTAGACCAAACAATGAAGAAATGATGAATCATTTGTTTAATTTGTGAAATCTCACATTTGTTTTGATGTTTGGGGGGGGGGGGGTAGTTAAAGGCTGAACACCATCTGACTATTGGGGCGCTGTTCAATAAGCATGATTTTGGTCACATCACTCAATAAGTAGCACTGACATTCAATGTGGCATGATCTGGCGTGCTGGACAATAATTATGTTAAAAAAACCAGTAATGGCGCTCATTATAGCAGCTGTGAGGATCTGACATCTTCGTTTTCTTTTAAAATGAAAAAGGAAAAATGTCTCAGTGGATGGTCCATTGAAAAGTTAAAAAGAGAAAACAAATTGAATCCCATTCATCAATATATGCATATGGGGCATTCAATAAATTAAAAAAACAAAACATTTCTTTTCCTCTCCGTGTTACACCTTACATGTTTGTTGGTTTTTATTCTGCATGCACTCCTTAATGCTGTCAGGTTTCAAGAGTGATTATGTAAGCAAACTACCTTCCCATCAGATAAGCAATGGACGTCATTTGTAATGATACTTGAATGGCAAATTACAAAGGTCAGAGGTCACAGGCACAGGAATGATGTCACACTTTAGACCCTCAATGTCTAGAATGACCCATATTAGTCATCAAGTGAAGATGACTAGCATGGACCGTATTGCATGGTCAGGGTTCCAGCTGGTAAATTACAAGGTACAGCCAAAGTTAATTTGTAAGGAAACGAAAAAATGATTTTTAAAATCCTTTTCACAGAACAGATTCTGAAAGAAATTTGTGTCGGAATTTCCATGAAAAATGGCCAAAGAGGCAATAATATTCTCATTTATATCAATAATTAAAGGTTGAGGGAGAGCCATCACCAATAGAGGGCGCTGTGGCATATTTAATTGTTGGGCATCTGATGAAAAGGAGAAACCATTGACCTTGTCATGCGGCTATGAAGACTTGCAGACTGGTCCAAGAAATCTGGAATTTATTTGGTCGGCTGAAATCCACTCATAAAATTGTCTGCGTATTTATGTATCAAACAAAGGTAATCCAGAAATAATAAGTGGAAATTTGGTAATTGCCGAAACTTGGGAAAAATTAAAGTTATTCACACATTCAACCACATGTGATAGTTTTAAGCAAATTCCACAGTGGTCCATTCCTGTTGTATGGTTCATCTGAGTTGTGGGATTCTGTTGGTTTCAGGAGACTTTACTTTGTGGGTTTCTTTGGGGTTCAGGGTTCCAAATGGAATAACAATATATTATTTCAAGACTTGATTTTTCTTTTTAATTTTTTTAGCCGAAGAATAGAGCGACTACAAAGAACTTCAAAGAGTGGTGAGTGAATTGTTATTCTGAATAAATGAATGAATTTATTTCTGCTCATTTCATTTCAAAACATCTGATTTTACAAGTCAATTTGACTATTTAATTGTTACAACAGAGTTTGAAAAGTGTCATCAAAATTGAATAATTCTTTGCTTAAACTCCAACTGTATGAGAGGGTAATTCTTTCATTGTTTTGAAGTTTGCTGAAATTGCAATCAAATAGGTAAAAAAATCAAAACAGATACTTGAAAAGGCGAGGAAATTTCAAGGAGGCAATCAGGCCAAAATCAAGGCAATGGAGGCCATAGCTTCCTTAAATTCAATACCATTGATTTGAACATTTGTTAAAATGATTGGCAACCTTTCACACTTGAAGAATTTGTAACCTTCAAAAAATAATAATTAAAATTTCCATCAAGATAATCCCTTGTGAGTAAAGTTTACACAAGTCTTTATTCCGTGAATTTAGACAGGAAACCAAATTAATAGGTTAAGTATTTTTGCTCATCTTTAGCAGACATTTCAATGATTAAATGATTATCCACATTAGTGTTTCATTGATAAAAACGCAAATGTACCAAGCTTGTAAATAATAACAAAAAACATGATTTCTGTGAAAAAATACAAAAATGAAACTGCCAAAACTGTTTTAAAGAAACTGAGTGAATATTAAAAAAGGACTATTTTTTAAAGTAATCTTTAATTTTTGCAGGTTTCTTTTCCTAAAGCAACAAAAGTGCTCAATATTTTAAGTAGGGTGCATAACAAGCATTCTGTTCAAGTCTTAGCTGAGTGGCTATTATACATTTTGGAGAAAACAGAGAAAACATATAAAATACCCAAGTCTTTGGATGTCGTAACTGGATTATGTAGGCACCCCATTTTGAAACCACCTTCAATGTTTGTTTTCTGACAATACTATTTCAGGTGGAATTATTTCACAGGGTATTTGTTACCAGTCCTATCTTCACTTTGAGTTTTCTGTCATTAAATCGGTAGGTGCTTATCTGGGTAATTGCAGATGATCCTACGTGGCTTTAAAAAGTGAAGTTAACAGAAATGCAGAATAATTAATATTGTACAGGCTGTAATTATCAGAAAATGTAATGTTTAGATAGCACAGTATACAATGAGTAGATGTACGTTCTATTAGGAACCAATTGAAGAATATACATAAAGGGAGTTTACAAAGTCTTGTTGAGACTACTAAGATCTACATACAGTGGTGAATTGTTAAACACTTACATGTAAAAGTCTTTTTGAACATTTATTTTGTACAATAAGATCGATACTTTGCAAACAAATTCGTATTTTTTCTCTGAAACCCAAAATTGAAGTGATGATGATTTTTTTTTTCATTGTCCAGTTTTCTGAAAATGGCAACCAAAAATGCAAAACAAAGAAAAAAGAGGTGTGCAATTCAATTCTTGAAAAAAAACCGAGGAAATCTATTTAGTCAGGCCACAATCAAGGCAACTGAGGCCGTATAGCTTTCTGAAATTCAGCTTGAGTCAAAATGATTTCTAAGCATTCAAACTGAAGGGATATTTGACAGTCTGAGAAAAAATGTCAACAAAATTTCAAATCAAGATAAAAGCATTCTTGTAAACATTAGTCTTAATTCTGTAAATAAAGACAGGAAACCAAATTAATTGTCACTCATCTTTAGCAAACATTTCAATGAGTAACTTATCTTCAATAGACATGTAAATGTATCGTAAATTCAAATGCGTAAACGGAAACTGCAAAAAGTAATGTAAAAACTGAGTAAATAAAGGCTTATTGAACAGTAATCCGAGTATTAACTATTGTGCTGAACGTACATGCTTAAAATGAATTTAAACAACCTGTATTTCACTAAATACTTGAAGTATGGTTGCATCTCAAGGATGAAGTGCGTGTAAAACTGTCTCAAAAGTTCTATTAACAAAAGTACAATACATAATGGATTACATGTGGATTCCATTAGGAACAAATTTCAGAATCTCAAGGAGTTTACGAAATCTTGGCTATGTCTCCTGCTTTGGCTTGTACTATTTAAAGCCTCTGATGAGATTAAGAAATAAACTTCATGAACACTGTCAACACAATTCTCCATTCTGTGAATGAAGATCTGAAACCACATTAATAGAATGAGCTTTGTCACTCATCTTTAGGATACATTTGGACAAGTCAATTGACTTGAAAAGCAGCATTATTAATTAAATCTGTACATGAAACTGCAAAAAAGTAACACAAAATTAACTGAGTGAATAAGGGCTTATCTTGAACACTAATATGCGCGTATTTGAACTGAGTAATGCAGAAGGTTGAATATTAAGAACGAAAAGATCCTAAACATACCAGAATATATACAGCAACTTCCATCATCAACAATTTACGAATCTTAATTGTGTTTATGACATCTTGGCTAAGTCCCTGGCTTTGGCTTCTGGCTTCATGATTTTTGTCCCCTGATATAACTCCAGTACAATATTGGTCCATTTTCTTCTTCAGAGACACCAAATCCTGTCACACAAGGCCAATGGTTGGTGCATTTTCACTGAGTTTGCCATGTGCTAAGATTCTTAGGAATCTAGTGCCAGAGATGAAGCGGAAGCCACAACGAAGCCGGGGTTTCATAAACACCACATAAAGTTGGTAAGTATTGGACAGATTTATGGCAATCCATGTACTGGGTGAGGGAGGGGTGTTGGGTTGAGGAGGCGGGGTCATTACATTCAAACACCTCAACACTCACTGAATTCCCCTCTCCTTTCAAATTTACCATTTAGACAAAGATAATAGATTCCAGTCATCATACATATGTACATGTAAGATTAAAACAAATTGTCCCCCAATCAAATCAAATGTAACTGTAGTCAATACACTGTTTATATAAGACTTTGTATAGTAACATAATGTAATTGATGCACTGTTTATTAAGAATTTGTATGGTAACACGGTTCACATCAGAGGGATCTGGCAGTTTGGATTTTTGAGGAGAGATGTGATATGAGTGGGACATGAATGTTGATTGGTGCTGTAATGACTGGACAATTTCATCCTCAACATTTGCTGTTGGGATGATGATGATTGCTAGTCAATATCATGTTGGATGACATCACACCTTGTGATACATCTTGATCGAGTAGTAGTCAGCCACTGCCAGCTGGCCACCTGATGTGAATGTGATTCCACGTGGGGCATACAGACCCTGAGCCAGGCAATCAAGAAACCTGCCATCTAGGTCATACTGGTGAATATGACCAGTGCCAGGCCCAACTTGGTGCATTGCAAGGTAGATGCCTGAGCTGTCACAGCATACACCACGGCAGTATTCCACCGGCTTACCATTGATGGTTGGCTGAATTATGGCGTGTGTTTTACCTTCGCCATCAGCAATGTCCACTTTGTTTGTGTCCCATCCACTGACCACAACTCTATCAGTGTCGTCATCCACAGCCAGGTAGTGAGGTGGAGTCTGCACTGGTATGGTGTGTAGGATCTCACCATCAGTGGGTTTGTGTTCAGTCCACACCATATTGTCGGTGTCGCCTACTAAGATGCTATTCTTTGTTACTGCTAGACTCGATAGGTCCATTTCTATCTTGTCTACCTGATGCTTGGGCATCGTTGGGAACTGCTTTACAAGAGTGTTGTCCTTCATGTTGAACACCTTGACATACTTGCTTTCATCTTCCAACACAAGCAAGCGTTGCTCAGGATTGTGGATGGCTGCAACTGCCAGTGGATCTGTGGGTAAAGAAGAACTCAAATTTAACATATGCACAGTGTATAAATGCACTGTCACTATTCTGAGTCCCCATGAAATATAAATACCTATGATAACCGACCTATAATAATGAATACATGGCGTGACTTAAAGCCTGTTCATGTAGAATTAATAGGCCTATACATGAACATTGTGCAGTCTTCAACCACCATACATGTATATTTGTGAATAACTGCAATGTCTTGGAGATCCTGTTTTGCAAAGTCTTTAATAAAGTTGATGCACTCTCTGTGCTATTCTAACATCAAAATAGATTAGTCTTATATTTAATCGTGTTGCTATTTTTTTTTTTAGCAATAATAAGGCTGTTCAATTTTCAAATGAAGCATTAATTGAACAACATAATCCCCATTTTTAGTCATCAAATAATAGAAAACTGTATAATAACAATTTAGTTCTTGCAAACTTTAAGACACCTTTCACAAAATGTTCCAAGATTGGTGCTTACATCATAAACTAACAACTGAAAAAAAAAGAAACTTGAAGCATATTGTTTTTTTTTTGTAATTTAAGGTCAAAGGTCATTTAGTAGCGCATTATCTAGAGCTTCATGGTATGATTTTGGTTTTATTTTAATAATAATAATAATACTGAACACTTATATAGCGCTCTAACTGTCATAGAAAGTACCACAGCGCTTTACACAAAAATGGACGAAAAATCCAAAAACCAGAAAACAAAACAAGAAATAAACCACATACAAAATACATGAGTAAGCAATAACATATAAATTAAACAGATCAATTTAACAGATCAATTAAACAGATGGGTTTTCAGGGTTTTTTTGAATGTTGCTAGTGAGCTAGAGTGGCGGATGATGTAGGGTAAATTGTTCCAGAGTTTTGGGGCAGCAGCGTGGAAGCTTTTCTCTCCAGTGGAAGTGCGAGTTTTGGTACATGGAGTAATCTGGTGTCAGTAGATGATCGGAGGCTTCTGGTCGGCTTGTAAAGCTGAATGAGTTCGGTTAAGTATGAAGGTGCAGAGTCAGTGTTAAGACATTGGTAAACGAGGGACAGAAGTTTGAAGATGATTCGGTTGGGGATTGTCAGCCATTGAAGATTTTGGAGGATAGGAGTGACGTTGTAATATTTTCCAGCCTGATAAATCAGTTTAGCAGCACGATTTTGGAGCCTTTGAAGGCGTTTGCAGTCAGCAGATGTTATACCGAACAGGAGTGAGTTTGCATAGTCCAGTCGAGATGTTACGAGGACTCTAATGGCAGCATGACAAGATGTTTTGTCAAGGTACATTCTGATCCGTGATAGGTTGCACAGATTCATGTTAACGGATTGACAAATGGCACTGACTTGGTTGGACATCTGCATGGTTGGGTCGAATACCACTCCAAGATTTCTGATCTTTGAGGAAGCCTGGATGGTATCAGCGCCTACTTGGAGGGAAAGATCAGATAACGAATTGAGAATTCTGGTGTTGGCACAGACAAAGAATTCAGTTTTGGATTCGTTTAGTTGAAGCATGTTACTTATCATCCAGTACTTTATGTCCATAATGCATTGTGATAATGTAGACAGAGCTTGGTTGATTTCACTTGGATCGTTGGGATTGAATTGGATGTACAGTGGCGTGTCGTCAGCATAGATGTGGTAACGGATATGCTGAAAAGCCTGGAGAACGGTAGCAAGAGGATGAGTAAATAGGGAAAACAGCTGCGGTCCGACAACGGAGCCTTGTGGTAGTCCAAACTCCAGTAGCAGTGGCGGATCCAGAGAGGTTCGTGCCGGGGGGGGGGGGGCGCAACGGCTCATTCGAGTAAAAAATGGCCTTATTTTACAAAATTTTGGTCACTGCCGGGGGGGGGGGGGTAGCACGCCCCCGTAGCACCCCCTGGATACGCCAATGAGTAGTTGTGGGTCAGATAGCTCACTAGCAACCTTTACTCTATTAGTGCGACCAACAAGGTAAGAATGAAACCACTGTTGAACATGACCTGTAATCCCAAATACATTGGATAATCTATCTAAGAGAGTAGCATAATCGATAGTATCAAAGGCCGCCGACAGATCCAGCAACACCACGAAGACGGCCTGTCGATCATCAAGGGCACGCAGTATGTCGCTCTTGATTCTCAACAATGCCGTCTCCGTGCTGTGGCCAAACCTGTATGCGGACTGAAACTTCTGATCCATCAAATTTGTACACAGATGAGCATTAATACGACTAAGACCAATTTTTCAATTAGTTTGGATAGAAAAGCCACATAAGAAACAGGTCTATAGTTCTTGAGGTTTAATATTCACATCCAGCCTAGGCTTCTTCAGAATTGGCGTAACAATGGCTTCCTGAAGGATTGATGGGAAAGAACCTGTGGACAGTGAATTCACAATGGAAACCAGTGCAGGGAGGAGGGTGTCGGTGTTCTCTTTCACCATCTATGTGGGGAGAAGGTCCAGTCCACATGACTTGTTAGGTGATTTGTTAACAAGTCTAAGGACCTCATCATCAGCTAGGGTGAAGTCGGAGAGTTCAGGTACGTGTGGCGGGGAATCAACATGGACCGCATCATCAGTTCAGAGGTTTGGGTGAGCAGACACTCAATGTTAGATATTATTTTCACAATTTTGTCCTTGAAGAAAGTGGAGAACCGGTTGCTTAGTGACTTCAAGGATCAGCCAGATGGAAGAGAAGTGGCCCCTTTGTTTAACAATGAGTTGATTGTTTTAAACACAGTTTTTGTGTTGGCGGATGAAAGCTGGGCCTTGAAGTATGTTGATTTTTCACGACGAATGAGCTTAGTTAATTCATTGACCTGATCCATGTATTTTTGTTGGTCATCAGGATGTTTAGTTTTGTGCCATCTTCTTTCAAGTTTTCTACGGTTGCTTCTGGTGAGGTGGATTTCTTTCGTGTACCATGGTTGGTGGGATTTGAACCTTCGTGTTCTTATCTTGATGGGACAATGAGCGTCCAGGACACTCAGGACTGTGTTGTTGTAAAACACAACTTGGACATTGGGACTACTGTCATATGGAAACGACTCGAGAGATCGTGCAAGATCATCAGTGAAAGTATCAGTGTCGATGGAACGGTAGTTTCTTGTTTTCAATTGCACCACCTGTTGGTTGGGTTTGGCATGATCAATGACGCATTTTGTCACATGTTTTTGCACAGTTTTGCACAAGGGTGTCTGTCTGACGTGAAATCACAAGATCAAGGGTTTGCCCGTATTTGTTAGTGGGCCCGTGGACATGTTGCCGTAGGCCATGGTCGGCAAGCAATGTGAGAAACTGAGCAGTGTTAGTTTTATTTGGCGTATCGAGGTGCAGATTGAAGTCCCCCAGTATTAGGTGATTTCCAGAGAGGGGTGAGATTTCGGCCAGGAAATCATTGAAGTCTGACAAAAATTCTGACGTATTCAGGCCATTCCTTGGTGACGGGGGCGGTCTGTAGATTGCGAATATACACAACTGTTTTGTGGCATCAGTAATGCAAGCAAGTTCAAATGAACAATGATTCAATGTTAGACCCTGCAAAGTATAAATTGAGCGGTGCCTTGAAGATGATTGCGATATGCCGCCTCCAAACGTATCACTGTCACGTGGCTTGCTAAGGAATACATAGCCCGGAGGTGTGGCCTCACCGATTATCACTGAATCCTCAATTTAACATGATTCTGTAATGACCATGATGTCAACATCATATTCAAGTATATAGTCACATATGAGTGTGGATTTGTTCCTGATAGAGTTTGCATTCCAGGGATGGACATTGAGTTTATTGTATGTCTCGTGGGCGATAGGCTTCAAGTTATTCAAGTTCGAACCCGACTGCCTATGTGTCGATACCGCAGGTCAAGAACTAATGCAAACTGGTATTTGACTAATTCTCTGTGAGGGAGGTTTAATATTCACTTGGTATTGGTCCAATTTGGTTCGTCGTAAATGACAACCAGCTTCCTACTCCTGATCCGGAAAATACCAAGATCTTTGAGGGCAGTGTATGATGGTTGTGGTAGCCACAGTTTACCAGTAGGCCTAAGGCTGGGTAAGTCAGATCGACTGTACTGCAGGGTCCTACTCGGGGGCAGAAGTTGTGTAGAACTTGGTTGGTGATGCGGAAAAGTCCCATTCATGATAAGCGGCTGGGTAATAGTGTCTATTGGAGATGTCATTTGCATTTGAATGCGGGGCTGAACGCCAAAGTCCAGTGAGGCATATACATGTACATGTATACACACATACCAATTAATCAGAATCCAAGTTGCTGCAGGCAAAATCATGATGAAATACACAAGTTCCAGAGATCAGACTGCCAGGTAAACAAAATCAACAGAGTCAGCAAATCACAAGAAGGTCTTAATCAATGTTTGATCATAATCAGACCACAAAAGGATGAGAAATCACAAACATTTAGCGGAGCAATTTATAGTGGCAGCAGCTTAGTCAGCGCCATATCATTTTATGAAATGGAGGCCATTCAAAGAGCTTTAATATGATGTACAATTTGGCTTTGTATTTGCTATAGTCTTGGAAATACGTACAAGTATTGAAAGTTCGAAGGCCATGCTAATTAGTCAAAAGTTTGTTGACCCGTATCAGAATATAACAAGCCAAACTAAAAAAAAAAATCAGTTTTGGGGGTTTTCATACAGGCCAATCATCACACCAAAATTGTTTCAATCTGTGAGGGTCAGGCCCAAAATCATGTTGAATTGACACGGAATGACACATTTTTGAGAGTCAAAATTTTGACCCCCAAAATTTGTTCTTGCAAAAATAACACTCAAACGGCCAATTTGTCAAGGATGGTTGTGTAAACGTTTATATCCTACTTTTAAATGCTCTTTATAGCCCAATGGGGTGTTTTCCAGGATGTAGTGTCCCTTTAAATCACTTGTTATTTGAAATGGTGGTGTCATTTATTACGTCACCATTTTTGTCACATCTTTGTACAACAGTGCATGTTTTGCCTTCATACCTTGAACCGCAACCGTTAGGGAGAAATTCCATTTGTTTTAAAATTCATGCTTCCTGCGGTATTTTGAAATCATAAACTTTGACCGTTAACCCTGGAAGGTCAAGTGACTTCACGTACATGTACACGACAAGAAATGTTCATCAACATCAGCGCATGGTCTATCAGATCACAAAGTGTGAACATGAAAGTCATGCAGCATTATTGTCCAGAGAAAAGCAAAGCACCAACACAAACACTAAAGAAGAACAAAGACAAAACCAAAGGGTGGTGTTGATGGGGGCTCATGCAGCCCCATCACCCACTAAAACAATGGAGAGGGATCAGGCCTTGAACATTCTACTCACAGGGCAGATTGGTTTGTTTGCAAAGCAACCTAAAAGCAACCCGTCTCTGTAATTCTGAAGGTTACGACCCCCTTCCCCCCCAAAAAAAATTAAAACAAATAAATAGGGTTTCTTCCAAACAACTCAAATCAGTAATGAAATAAATAGAAGTTTTGTTGAAAATTTGTTGAAGTTTTGTTAAAGTTTTGTTTGATTTTTTTTCTGTGTGTGTGTGATTTTTTTTGTTAAACATACATGTAAGCATACATGTAAAAAAAAAACCAATTCAACATTTGTCAGGAAAACAAAACCAAATTTGTTGGAGAGCAGTGCCAGCACATCAGTTCCGGTAAGGAGAATACACGATTCAGTGTGCTATGTTAAGGAGAATACACGAGAAAGTGTGGATTCGTAATTTAAGAATTCACGAGGCGCGAAGCGCCGAGTGAATTCGTAAATGAATTCGTAAATTAAGAATCCACACTTGTGAGTGTATTCTTCGACCTAAACCATTGCGTCAACAGAAGTATTGGAAAGAATGTTGCAACCTGACGCCACTTTTTTCTTCATATATCATCTCAATGAAGGTCATTCGTTGCAAAAATGATGATAAGTCATGAATCTGGGACTGAAGTTTTTTTCCAATTTTGTTAGGAAATACTTGAAATGACTCTCCGTAGACTTCGTACACAAGCGCGGAAGTGGCGTCAGGTTTCAACATTTTTCGCCACACCCGTACAACCAAGTCATTTTGTGTGTACAGGCTCCTTACGTCAAAATGGATAGTTCAGAAGACGATTTCTTTCTGACTAAAAGTAGTTTTTGCAGTGACAGCGAAGATCTGACTGTGAAGATGCATTGGTAATTTTCGGAAAGCAAATTTGCACGCAGACGGTCCTTTTCATGCTCATTATGGAGACAATTGTCCGACGTTCAAAGTGTGGATTCGTAAATCCGAATCCACACTTTAATAAAGATTTAACAATAGTGTGACATCATAGCAATTGTTTAATTGCCAGTATTTTATTGGTTTTCATTCTCAGTTGTCAGATCTGCATGTGCACATGGAAGACTGACGATCATGAAAGTTGGTGTTAATGAACATGTGCATGAAAGAAACTTACATTGTAGGGGAATGGTTCCCTTGTGTTGTCCCTCATTGCTGCAGATGACCACTCGGTTGTTCACCCAGTCTGCCACAGCAATCTCACCAGGTTGAGTAGCAGTAACATCCCGAGCCCCATTGAACTCTCCTGGACCACTTCCCCCTTTACCAATCTCACGACACATCTCCCACTTGCCTGTTTCCACCTCAAGCCTGCCCAGATTGATGTCACCAATCCTCTGACCCAGGGTGAAGCTCAGATATGAAAGCTTGGGATCAATCTGGGGAGGATTTTGACTCTTGAGAGATTTCAAGTCTTTGTTGATGATAGGATAGAGGAAAAGCAAGTCAGTGTCTGATGCAGTGTTTATGACATCCTGAGCTGTACTGAAGGAATGTTGTTTACTTTGTAGCATCATTGTCACTGTTTCCTGATGCTTATTGTATGTTTTGTTGCGATCCTGCTGGAGTTGTTTGATTTCTTCAATCATCTTTGTCTCTTGAGTTGTTATCTCAGCTCTCATTTTATCCGCTTTGTCTTTCACAGCTTTCACAGTCTTTGTGACGTTCTGTGTGAACTTCTGCTTACCTTGTGATGAAGTGGCCAAAGCTTTTTGAAGTATTTTTATGCCTGTGGTGACATTTGGAAACATATCTGTCAGTGACTGTTTGTATTTGCGAGAAGCCTCTCCAGAGTCAATGTAGTGATGTTTTGGTTCACGGTGGTCTACTACAGTACAATCTCGGCAGATTAACTCTTCACATGTCTCGCAGTAAAATCGTTTCACTTCTCCTTTGTGTTTCTGGCATTTAGACTCATCTTCTTCTGGTGTTTTTTTCACTGTTACCTTCCCCTGACGAATGTCCTCCAAAGTAGCCACTGTGTGGTTTGATGTAGCAGCAAATCGCAAGTGTATCTTGCGACAGTTTGGGCAGATATTCTGTGCACAGTCCAGGCAACGAAGCATAGCCTTGTTTCCCTCATCACAAATCTCACAGATGACCTTTGTGTTTTCTGAACAAGCCACCTTTTCTTGGAGTGAAACCTCCTCAACTATTCCCATCAAATGGAAATTTGTTTTCAGGCCTTGAATGCGTGTCTCTGGAAGTACCGTCTCCCGTCGACAGACAGGGCAAGGAATCTTAGGCTTACCTGCATACCTGCTGGTGTAGTATTTCTCCAGACATGTCTCGCAAAAACTGTGCTGGCAATCCAGCACCTTGGGCCGTTTGTATTTCTCCTGACATATGTCACAGGAAAGATGGTTGCTTATCTTCTCAAGAGCTGTAGCCATTTTTATCTGTATTCAAATAGTATTTAAACAGAAAATGGAAGGGTTACTATAAGAACAATGACAAAACTTGAGCAAAACATGCGCCTTCTATGTACATTAAAGATGCACTGTCCCTGCAAGTTCCATCTAGAAAAAAAGTATATGGACATGTATAATGTTTCTTGTGACTTGCTGTTTTGTAGCCAGACAAAAGATATCCACTTTTGAACGAGACATCAAATAAAAAAAATCTCTCTTTTAATTCCTTTTGGAATTCCTGTTCAGGTTTTGAAGAGCACTGAGAGTACATCTTTTATTCTCTTCTGAAATGTTTTCAGATATTGAAATGGACAAAACTGTATGCAAGGTGCTTTTCCATTTCTTTTACTGAATAGGATTCAGATTTCCCAGGCCAGACAACCCAGAATTTGTATGTTTAATTGGTTGGGAATTTTGAGTTCGGATGAGCAAGCAGTTCTCAGCAGAAGTGAAAAGAAAGTTGCATAATTAGCTGTTCCCAATTTCAATTGGGAACAGCATTTGTTTTCCTTAAATTTTTTTTTTCCTTTTTTTTTTTAGCTGTTCCCAATTTTCAATTGGAAACAGCTCTTGTTTTCGTTAAAGCTTTTTTTTCCCTTTTTGGCTTTTCCGCATAGTGCGGAAAAGCCTTTGTTTTTGTTCTCATTTTTTTTTTTTTTTTTTTTTCCTTCTTTTTGTCGCCAAAACCCCATAGACTTTGTGCACGTTTTTTCTCAGTGCCACTTTTGGCATTAATCTTTGTCAGACATCATTCAAAGTTTGCATAAGCATAGTCCCCATAGCAAAGATGTGTCCCGAAGATTGACGTCATGGTGACGTCATCGACTAATTTATTATAGATTTTTGAATATTAAATTTTTCCCATAGACTTTGTACACAGAAATTAAAAACAAATTGTCGCTTTTCAAAGGGCATTTTTGACTCTTTGCCAGTAATTCATTTACACCACTCTTTGTCCAAGCAAAGACCCTAATTCAAACAACATTGTGGAATGATGACGTCATGATGACGTCATCCTGTGTTGATTGATAGGCAATTAAATTGTGACACTTTTAATATTTAAAAATGCATAAGAAATCAACCATACGCGTCCGCAGCATTCTATTGCCGGCAAGTGGTAGAGTATTATGGTCTTTATTTCATTCAGTGTGCGTGGAATCACGTGACCCTTGCTTCCGGTCGAAAAAGGCCAAAACCGGAAGTGGCTTATCATTTAAAAGTGGTAATAGATATGAACTTGCTTTTTACGGTGTTAGTCTCTTGGCCAAAAGTATTCTTCAAATCATTTACCAATGACGTCATGCAATCTTCGAGCGCCCTCTAGCGACAGGTTGAAAATTTTCAAAAATGTGTTTTGAATAGATGTCTGTGGCGAAGTTTGTCAGAATCGCCTAAATATTGGTGTATAGGATGACCTTGATCCCCTTAAGACGTGTGAGAAGTTTTAGGCGTATGACGTCATCAGACCGGAAGTTATAATGAAAAGACCCTTTTTCCTGAGAAAATTCCTGAAAAATCAACCATGGCAGTTTTTATATTAGTTTTTACTTTAATTGTCGATTTAAGGGTAGGTCTAAAACATTTCAAAGCTTCGACGCAATAAGCGAACTCGAACATGGCATGCGCACGCTTAAAACTTCAAGTTGACAATATACCTCTGCTTTAAAACATGCACAGGACGTCCACAATGTACATGTACATGCACGTACGTTGTACATACGCACATACATCGTATGTCAGTCAGCCCGCAGCGCTAGCGCACGTGTTGCTGAGGTCAAATCCTGACCATAGTGACCGTTTTAGCCGATTTTCGGCTAACTTAGACAAAACATGCACAGGACGTCAAAATGTACATGTACATGCACGTACGTTGTACATACGCACATACAACTTATGTCAGTCAGCCCGCAGGGCACGTGTTGCTCAGGTCAAATCCTGACCACAGTGACCGTTTTAGCCGATTTTCGGCTAACTTTGACAGACTTTATGTTCATGCATAGTCAGAGACGTATTATTGATAAAAAAAAATCATAATGCGGAAAAGCCCTATGTTCTGTTGCAAACAGACATAGATCTCTAGTTTTTTCTTTTTAGCTGTTCCCAATTTCAATTGGGAACAGCTCTTGTTTTCGTTATAGTAGGTTGAGGTCTTTATTTCATTCAGTGTGCGTGAAATCACGTGACCCTTGCTTCTGGTCGAAAAAGGCCAAAACCGGAAGTGGCTTATTGTTTGAAAGTGGTAATAGATATGAACTTGCTTTCAACGGTGTTAGTCTCTTGGCTGATGGTATTCTTCAAATCATCTACCGATGACGTCATGCATTCTTCGAGCGCCCTCTAGCGACAGGTTGAAAATTTTCAAAAATGTATTTTGAATAGATGTCTGTGGCGAAGTTTGTTGGAATTGCCTAAATATTTGTGTATATGATGACCTTGACCAACTTAAGACGTGTGCAAAGTTTTAGGCGTATGATGTCATCAGACCGGAAGTTATAATGAAAAGACCCTTTTTCCTGAGAAAATTCCTGAAAAATCAATCCGTACAGATATAATCTTGAATCGCCCATTAAATGATAGCATAAACATTTGCCTCAACAGGGCCAAGTTCCCAGCTTGTCAAATTGTTCACACAGTTGACGCGACGTCGGCAAAAATACCCTTGCCAAAGTTGCGGTAGAGAGCTTTAAAACATGCGCAGGACCTTCCACAATGTGTATAGCACGTACACGTGGCTTTGAAACGTTGTTCAATGTACATTACGTCCCTTCATTCTCGCCAAAAGAGGGCAGTACATAACTTTAACGGTTGTACGGGCTGTGCCAGGCAGCGTAAGGAGCGGCACAGTGCCTCATCTAATTAACACTTTTACGGTGTCAAAAGGATAGCGCGTTACAAAAAAATATATAACTGCACACCGTATAAAGTGAATGACCCCATTCGCTAATCAGAAACTTTAACGGTTGTACGGGTGCACAGGCTAAGCTATGCAAGGCAACATAACGAGCGGCACACATCCTGATCTGAACACTTTTACGGGATCAAAATAAGGACAGCTGCGCGTCACCAAAAAAATATAACGGCACACCGTATAAAGTGAATGGCGCCCCCATTCGCCAATCAGTAGACTTGTGTCAGTGATTTTGTTCTGCTTTAGGGGAAGTTGGACACTTATTCAATTGCAATAAAAAATATCACACGTTTTTATTCTACAAGCAACTTTGGGAACTATTTTAAATCCGATCAACTTTAAACTCAGCATAGTCATTAACCATCATCTGAAGATGTATGCCGAAACTTTTTGTCATCGTGACGTCATCAGGGTTCACGTGACATCTATTTATAGATTCAATTTTTACAGCCTTATAACTATAGAACTATTTGAACAATTGATCTCAAATTTGGTAGGTTATACAACCAGGGAAGTGTTATAGATGACAATTGATATGTCAAGGTCACGAGACCTTCACTTCTGGTTTTACCGGAAGTGGTAATTTTAGGCCCCGATATCATATTTCATGAATTATTAATCTGATCAGCTTGAAACTTCACATTAATACAAAGCTATATTGACAGATAATTATATTGCATTATTATTACTGTGCACATATTTATTGTCATGTTATGACATCATGAATATTTAATGAGACACTCTTTACAGTCTTATAACTATGGAACTATTTGACCGATTGATCTCAAATTTAGTAGGTATACAGACAGGGATGTCTTATAGATGAACATTGATATTTCAAGGTCATGTGACTTTTACTTTCAGTTTTACCGGAAGTGGTAATTTTAGACCCCTAAATCATATTTCATGAATTATTAATCTGATTAGGTTGAAACTTCACATTAATACTAAGCTATATTGACAGATAATTTTATTGCATAATTATTACTGTGCACTTAAATATTGTCATGTCATGATGTAATTAATATTTAATGAGACAATCTTTTCAGTCCTATAACTATAGAACTGTTTGGCCGATTGATCTCAAACCTGGCAGGTATACAGAGAGGGAAGTGTTTTAGATAAAAATTGACATGTCAAGGTCATGTGACCTTCACTTCCGGTTTTACCGGAAGTGGTAATTGTAGACACTTATATCATATTTCATGAATTATTAATCTTATCAGGTTGAAACTTCACATTAATACAAAGCTATATTGACAGATAATTATAATGAATTATAATTACTGTGCACATAATTATTGTTATGCTATGACTTCATGAATATTTAAAAGGTTGTACCAGAAGTGCAATCTTTAAAAGTAATCATTTCAATTTATCAATTTCATTTTTTGTTATTCATTAAATCATTTTGTTTACTGTCCAATAGAGAATCAAAACTGGGAACAGCTCTGTGGTTGTTCACAACCACAACCTCTAGTTTTTGGCTTTTTCGCAATTTTGCAAAAAAGCCTTTGTTTTTGTGCTCGTTTTTTTTTTCTTTCTTCTTTTTGTCGCCTAAACCCCATAGACTTTGTGCACGTTTTTTCTGGCCTCCACTTTTGGCATTAATCTTTGTCATACATCATTCAAAGTTAGCATAAGCATAGTCCCTATAGCAAAGATGTGTCCCAAAGATTGACGTCATTTATTACAGATTTTTGAATATTTAATTTTTCCCATAGACTTTGTACACAGAAATTTAAAAGAAATTGTCACTTTTCAAAAGGCATTTTCGACTCTTTGCCAGTAATTCATTTACACCAATCTTTGTCCAAGCAAAGACCCTTATTCAAACAACATTGTGTAATGATGACGTTATGATGACATCATCCGGTGTGTATTTATATGCAATTAAATTGTGACACTTTTGATATTTAAAAATGCATAAGAAATCAACCGTACAGGCAGTTTTTATATTAGTTTTTACTCTAATTGTCGATTGAAGGGTAGGTCTAAAACAATTCAAGGCTTCGAGGCAATAAGCAAACTTGGACATGCCCTACGCACGCTTAAAACTTCAGGTTGACAATACCTCTGCTTTAAAACATGCACAGGACGTCCACAATGTACATGTTCATGTACATGCACGTACGTTGTACATGTACATATCGTATTTCAGTCAGCCCGCGCGCAGCGCACGTGTTGCTGAGGTCAAATCCTGTCCACAGTGACCGCTTTAGCCGATTTCCGGCTAACTTTGACAGATTTTATTTTCATGCATAGTCAGGGACGTATTATTGATAAAAACAAATCATAATGTAGTGGCGAGTTGTGAAATTTAATTTTTTAATCATAGTTGTTAATTCAAAGTGTTTTCTAAACTTTAA